ACCTGGGCTTGGCCGTGCCTCGCACCTTTTTGGCGTGGCCCTTTCTTGTCCACTTTCATTCGTCTCGCAACTGGCCCCCGATACACACTCCTCTGCGCGCCTGCATTGCATTTGACGCCGTGTCTGCTTTCGAATCGGCGCTTGCCTGCAAGTCCTTTAGTAGATAATCTTTTGGGGCTTTTCATTACCTCCGCAGGCCGCCCACAGCACCACCCGGTGGCTGTCTATCACCACCACCCCTGTCCTAAGCGAAGCTGAAGCTGAGAGTCAACCACTCGCTGGCAACGACTCGATATTCGACTTCTTCGTCTCGCTCTACGACACTCGAAGTCGACCAGTGCTGCGCGACTCGTATTTGTGCAACGTTTGTCATTCTGGTTGCTCGACATGGCGCCCACAAATCCCCGGCTCAAGGTCCTTTCAGGTTGGTTTCATCATTTTATCTTTATTCTGTGCTTGTCTCTATTTTTGCTGTTTTTAGTGTCTTGATTTCCCACGTTTAGGCCTCGTTCGTTGCCAGATTTCCTTGTCTCGCCATCCCCTCAATTATTTCCCGCTATACTCCTCCCCTGGCTAGAGTTGGCCTGGCCTGGCGTTTTCGCACCCCCCTACCGCAGCCGCACCCGTGCCTGGCCTCTTTATCCTGAATTGATCTTATTGTTGTCCCACCGCTGCATTCCTGCAGCATTCTTCGGACGAAGCGGCCAGGCCCTGTCATTTCCCCCACTAATCCCCATTGCACAACGACTCCCATCATCCGCTGCCCCTGCTATCGCTCTACGCACGACGTTCCCGCCCCTGGAGAAATTTAGGTTACTTTATTATTCTTGCCTAGTCCTCCCTTCTCTCCACCCTTTCAACACTATGCCTCGCTTTTGCCTTTCTGCCTTGGTTTTTGTCACTTTCACTTTTTTTCCGCTTCTCGTCGCATTCTCCTCACAAACCTTCCAATCGACGACGCTCGTTTCCTTCGTTACCCCTTCTTCCCCTCTCAGTCCTTCGTTTTCTAGGCTTTTTTTTTTTTTTTTGGCTCTCAGTTGTTTTCCTTTGCTCTGCATTTTGCACTCTTTCAACTTGCGCGGCTTACGATATTCGATACGCTATACCCCATAACCTTTCTCCTCTATACTGTTTCCCTTCCGTTCTCCAAACCAAGGCCGTGCCTTGTCTTCTTTCTTCTTATCTTCTGTTCTTCATTCCTGCTCTACCGCTACCCAGCCTCACTTCTCCGCAATCAAACTGGCCGCTTCCCTACATGTCGTCGCCATACGCCAGCCTTCTCGTTTTTTGAACCTGCGGATTAGTTGTCGACCATGGAGGACGACTTTGAACTAATGAATGTGGTCACAGTGGGAGGTAATGCCGTGTCCGCTTTCCTTTCCTGGCGCCTTCAGGCCACGAACGCCTGCGATGTGACTCTCGTGTGGAAATCCGGCTTCGAACACGTCGCCCAATACGGCATATCTTTCAAGTCAGTCTACTTCATACCGCAGCCCAGACGAGTCGAGTCAAAATGGTGCCGAGGCCAACATGTTGCGCAAAACGCACCGAGGCTCCCGATTTCCCGGGCATCATCCTAACACCCTCCCTAACGCTCCCTACTTTCTGTCCAGCTAACTAACATGCACGAATGCTTCTAGATCATCAACATTTGGCAATGAGCGGTTTAAGCCGCGCCATGTCGTCAAGTCTCCAGAAGAAGCCGCGTCACGTAGAGAAGGCGCATTCGACTATGTCATCCTCTGCATCAAGGCCCTCCCCGATGTCTACGACCTGGCCACTATCATTGACGCCGTCGTCACACCTCAGCACACCTGCATTCTCGTCAACACCACCCACAGCCTAGGCGTCGAAGCCGCCATCGAAGAACGCTTCCCAACAAATGTCGTCCTATCACTCGTGTCAAAGGCCGAGGTCGTCCAGCTCGGTGCCAGTGACTTTGAGCATAAGGGCTCGACCGAGATCTGGGTCGGCCCCACCAACAGTCTGAACGAGCGGATTCCTCGGACCATTCGTGAAGATATGGCGCAAGCCCTGGCCATGACTCTGAGCTCCGGCCAGGTCGATTGCAATGTGTCACCGAATATCCGCCAGCAGCAATACGAAAGGTTGATTGGGTACGTTGTAAAATCACCTGTCGGTTCCTGCTACCGCACTGAACACTATATGCAATGCTAACGTGTATTCTACCCTTAGCCCCATCGCGTTCCATCCTACCAGCGTCATTTTCGAGACAGCGAACCACGCACAGCTCATTGAGAAGGTCGGCGTGCGACAGATGATCATGGGCATTCTCGATGAATTGGTGGCTCTTGCCGAGTCGCAAGGCTGCAAGTTCCCCGCCGATTTCAAGGAACAGACGATCACCGAGATGACAAACCCGCAGGCCTCAGAAAGCGTCATGTGGCAGGATTTCATGGCGAGACGACCCATGGAGGTGGAGACCTACCTTGGCTCTCCGATTCGGCTTGCCCAGGAGGCTGGTATTGCCGTTCCGCGGATCGAGTCGCTGTATGCCATTATTCACAACCTAAACGTTGTCAACCAATCACGACCTAAGAGCGACCCTACGCGCCCTCCCGGCTCGCCCACGGCTGCTGGTAACTTGCCGCCGCGAATGTCTGTCCAGAGTAACACCGGCCGGCCAATGGCGAACGCTATGCCCAATGGTATGCCCAACAGTATGAACGGCATGGGTGGCCGGCCACCGCGCGGCCGTAACCCGTCGACAGGTGGGCCCCCGGGCCGCCGCCCACCCATCTCGATGAACGGTGGTGGTCCCAACGGCTACGGGCGCCCTGGCCCACCGAACGGTTACCCCGGATCACGGCAACAGTCTAGGCGTGGCTCTCTAGAAGGTGCAGACTTGGAAGAATTCAGCCACCTGGTCCTCTACAACGATATCCCCGAGGGAGGTCAGGCGCCTTTCCCTCAGGACGCAGATCTTGCCATCCGCGAGCGCGAGCTCCAGCTCCGGCAGCGTGAACTGGCTCTTCGGGAGCAGGAGATGAGGATGCGCCGTGGTGGTCCCCAACCGCCACAGCAGAGACGAGCGCCTCCTTCGCGGAACGGCGGCGGTATTGGTGTGTACGATGATGAGGATGAGGATGATGATTACTTCGACCCTGGTATGAGCGGCCCGCCGATGCCCGCTATTGACGCCGATAACTTCGACATGATGAGCGTCACCTCCCGGAAGAACCGCAAAGCGCCCAGTAGCACCAACAGCTCCCAGTTCCGCAAGAACAGCGATCTTGGCTCCATTCCGAGCTCTAGGAGCAGCCGTTTCCGACCCAGCTTCGTCCGGAACCGTTCAAGCCAGATTATTGATCAAGTGCCTACTGCTCACTCCAACATCTTTGACGATCCTTTGATGTCGTGCTCGTCCAACAGATACGCCAACGTCGACCGTGGTCAGATGCAAGCCGGCTCCCGGACAAATTCGCTAACCGCATCGCGCCTTGACGAGCTCCAGTATAGCAACGGTCCGGGCCCGAACGGCCCGCCCATGGGGCCCATGGGCCACATGGGTCCGATGGGCTCGATCAGCGGCGCCAGCGTTATGGGACCGAACATGGGCGGTCCCTATCCGCGTCGGGCCAGCCAGTCACCCGCCAACCAGTATAGCCCATCTATTCGCGGTGGCATGAACGGTGGATTGAATGGCCGCCCGTCGCCCCCAAACGGTTTTGGCGGCCCGCCGATGAACGGTCGTCCTTCGCCCCCTGACGGCATGCGCCAGCCTGTCCCGCGGTACCCGCCCGGTCACGGCAACGCCGTAGCACCGCAACAAGTCGAGCAACACGCCGGGGTGAGCCCTCTTCAGCCGCCTTCTGGAAAAAATGTGCGAAGTCTGACGGGAAGTGCGAGTGCTAGCGCGGGGAGTGGTGAGAGCCACCTTGACTCGGAGCCCTCCGCCAACAGCAGCCAAAGCAGTCTAGGACCGCGCCAGCCGATTGGTGTGCGGTAAAGATATAGACCCCATGGGTCTCAAACGAACGGCGAGACTGCCGACGATCGACTGGAGCTAATCTGAACCACACCACCTACCTACCTACCGTCACACTAAACAAATGGGCCATCATTGCAGAGACACGACACTGAAAAAGGTCCAGGGAGCCTCTATTCATGCCCCCACACCGACACCAGGGCTACCACCAATGGCCGTTGAACACCTCCGAAACGCACTGTCTGGGCTCTTGCTTAATGTTTTCTTTATTATCGACTTTTCCTTCACCTGTTTTTTCTTGTCACTTTTTCCTATAACTCTTCTTCTATACACAGCAACACTATACGGGCAACACATAAATTCATTGGCTGAATGGCCTTTTTTTCAGACCTCGGGTTGGGAAAGAGCCCTTGCCAGTACATAGGGTATTATTATTGTGGATGACAAAGCAGCAAGTATCATTTATTGTTCTCTTTTTCTGTATCGTTTCCTTTGTCTTGTATCTGGTTTTTGTTGTTTTGACTGCTTCTGGCATTAATTGCATTAAAGAGAGGATCACGGGCTTTGCTTTTTATTTGTTACTACGCCTTTTTGTCTATTCGAGAGTTTGTCTCCTTTCTTGTCTTAATGTCTTCTCTCTCCTAACACTTTCTTTTGTTTCACCAAAAACACTTCGTACTTCTTCCTTCATAATTTTGGGCTTCATCTGCCCTCTCCCTACATTGAGCGCGATACATATATGATACACAGCAAATGGAACATAATGCAGAGTAGACATGTCTTGTTTTAACTGAAAATTACAGAGTTGTCCAACCATTCTCTCTACTGTCTCTGGATTGAATAAGCCGGAATTTGAGGTTTCATGCTGCTTTTTATTTGGTTTATTAATATACAGCATCTCCGGCTGGAGTACGACATACTCTGTATAATATATTAAAAGTAGATCGTCCGCAAGGTATCATAAACTAGAAGTCTTTGTTGGTTGTCTTCAATATGAAATATTCTTAGAAGTTATGTTGGTTCATATTGTGAAATTCCGTGGTCTGATCGAGCTTGCATATCTTTTGTCTATCCTCGCAACTCGTTCTTTCACAATCCGAGTCTATTATCTCAAAGCAGAGTACAACATATATATAAAGGAAAAGGAGTTTTCATAACCTTATTACGAAGAGAGCGTGTTTGCAGCCATAGCTCAGTATTTCACGGGTTTGACAATAGAGTGTGTGCAGATCAGCAGATGGGCTTCCAGGCTCCCAGGCTACCTTCACTACTGTATCCACTACCGACCGCCAATGCCCCCCGCCCCACAGGCGCCCCAAGGAGAACCCCGCTCAAAGCCAATAAACGGACGCGACAGACGCGTAAACAGACTAAGCGCCAACGACATCTTCACAGCAGCTCGCGGATTCGATCAGTTTTGCAAACAACTGATACGGTCGCAACGCAAAATAACGGCAAAACTCGCACGGAAACTCCGCGAACCCATGAAACATGAACAACCAGCCCACCACAACCTTCAACACCACACGGACGACGACGGCGACGGCTTCCGGCCCCGCCGTCAAGGCGCGGCAACTGGTGGGCGCATGTCCCTCCTGGCTCTCGCGCTCTCTCTCAACCTACTGACTCTCCTACCAGGCTCACCTCCAGTCTCAGCTCAGCATGCTCTCCGCACATCTCGCCGATACCGACAGCCTTGTGCGCGTCACGGCAGCACAGGCGGGCTACCTGCGCGAGCTCGGTAGCTGGCACGCGGGCCTGTAAGTCAACATGTCTGCTCTGTCTGTTCACATAATTGGTTTTGCTTGGCTGACTTGCCAGGTTCATGGCCGCGAGCAAGGTTTTGGGCGAAGATGGCGGTAGGGAGACTTCGCACGAGGATGACCAGAGACAATAAAGGACGCGAGGTCATTGGGCAAAGAGACACAGAGAGTTTGATACCCGCAGCATCGAAGTGAGGCTGCCTTTTACGCCAACGATGAAACGAAGAATGCGATAGTATATTTCGATTTTTGGATATATTTACGAATCTGTCTTGATGTGTGTATATAAAGTACATGATGACTTTGTCGTAATGAAAGTGCCGTGATGAGGTATGCAAGATTTGCACATAATTTCTTTCCTCCATGACTTCGAGCTTTGATTTCAAGCCTGGCTTTCTCATTGTTTCCATGTGCAGTGCACTCGGCATGCCTCGTGGTCCAAGGTGTGCTGTGCCCTTGGCTTCTGTAGCCGGTAATGGCACCCGGCAGGCGATCGGGCTGTTGATCGTGGCGGGAGGAGTGGCGCACCTCATGGCAGGCGACCCTGATTCAGTTGGCGTATTATGAAGTAGATGCTCATATGTAGTTAGATGTGCCTTTCATCCCGGGGCCTGGTTCGAGTTCTGTCCCTTTGACGCCGTTGTTGCTGTTGTGCCCTGCGGTTGTTCCTTGCCGCGCGACACAACCGCCAATTTCTTGTCCTGTGTCTTTCCTCGCTGTTGGACTTTGTGTACATCCTTGGTTGCCGGGTGGCCGTTGGCATCATCCGTCACTTTCGTCTTGTCAGGCTCGTCGGCGCGAAACGGCCGTCGTGGCTGCCGCAGTGCTGTCACTGGATACCGCCGTGCACGCCCGCATGTTGTGCAAGTCACGCTCAGGACGTCCGCCCATGGCTTGCGCCCTCCACGGCTGTGGTTCTCCACAACGGACATGCACGATGTGCCCTCCACTAGCAGCGTATCGCAGTACTTGCAGACACTGTGCTTCATGGCCGGGCGCAGGCGCATGTTGGTCTTGCGTGACACAGATCGCATCTGCGTCAAGAGGTAGCGAGCCATGCCCTGTAGTTGAGGCGGTGCTGCCTCTTGACCATCATCCCCTTTGTCGTCAATGTTGGATTTTGCCTGGTCCTCCGTCGAAGGCGCTGCAGACTGTGTTCCGGCAAGCAGTGTGGCAGCCTGGAACAAAAATGACACCCTGGAGTAGGCTGGCCGGTTTGTGACGGCACTTCCAGCAGCACCTTTTGCTTTGGCCATCTTTGCATCTATGAGGATATGGTGATATGTATTGGCAAAGTATATGTAGCTTCGTCAAAGAGCTCTGCACAAGACTCCATACAAATATCAGTCATTCGTAAGATCACGTGAAATTATCACGTGACCAAGTGGCAAAACTCAACTCGGTCTGGGCTGAACGGGGAGGAACAACTCTCCGGAAGGGGATAATTTATTTATCCGGCCCAAGCCTCCTTGTTGTCGCCCCCTTACCTTTGCGCCGCGTTGTAGCCTCTGCTCCGTCCTTGTCTTCTTGTTTTTCTGGCTCTCCCGCTTTCAGCCTTCGCTCAGTTTCTTTCTCCCTCAACAACATATCACGACTCGTTTGTTGCCACCCAACACCTTTCCTGTATTTCCATTGTCTATTTGCTTTCTGCACTGGTTTCGTCTATCTACCAACGGTTCTTTCGACTCAATTCACCTCTCTCCAGCATCTGCGTTTTGCGACAGCTGTCACATATTTCGTGTTTTGAGCTTTGTTCACCTTCAAAACAGCTTTTCGACCTTACTTGTCAACTTTCACGCCTCGCCCCCCACGACGCAGTAAACGGTTGTTTTCAGTTCCGTTTGCTCTTTTTTCGTTCACGAACACGTTGCAACTTGTATTCTCCCGTTTCTCACGCAAACAACAGCCAAGATGTCTGCCGAAGAGGACTTCATCGACTACTCGGACGACGAGCTTAACAACACCACCGCCCCCAAGAAGGCTGCTGCCGACGCCGACGCGCCGGAGTCCGCTGCCGATTCTGGTAACAACGCCACAGCCAAGAACGGCAGTTATGTCGGCATCTACTCGACCACGTTCCGTGACTTTTTGCTCAAGCCAGAGCTGATCCGCGCCACCGCCGACTGCGGTTTCGAACATCCTTCGGATGGTTAGTCCTTGCTCCTCAAGAACGAGAGGCACAATTAATATCCCAGCATTTTATTTTCTTTCTTTCTTCGCTCCACACACTTCTTTTGGCTTCCCTCATCACCCACTTCCGTTTCTTTGCGGCCGTGTTCCCCTACGAGAAAAGAGATTCGGAGCGCTCCGTCCATCGTCGCAAAGCAAAAGCAAGATACGCACAAGATCAAGAGAGAGGATTAAGGGGGGAGACTCCAAGGCACTGGATGCCATGGCACACACGAGAACGGGACGCAAGTCCCAAGTATCTAAGGAGGATCCGAGGAGAACGCGGTAATAGCTTCTCTTTCGGTGACCCGAGCAACGGACAAGCCAATGACGGTGGCCATTTGTCCAATTTGTAATCGGAACGGCCACAATCGCTCGTCGATCGGTATCTTAAGGGCTGAAATGTGCCTTTGATGACCGCGGATGCATCGGCTTCTACGTCAGGAAAAGAAGTTTCGAACCTTCGACATTTGACACAACGAGCGCGTCTACCCACTGGAGCGTGAGCCAGCGGGCGGTTCGGTTTGCTCACATGCGGAGCAGAGCGACGGTGTGGACATTGACAAGGACCTGCAGCTGGTAGGGAAAAGTCTCGTTGCGTCGCAGGCTGGTCTCGGTCGTGATGGCCGAGGCCAGCTCCACGCAACTACTTGCAGAAATGCGAACTACCGAAGACCGAACCTCCAGACTCTAGCACGGAAGCGAAACACCTACATCCTTGTCGCGCTGCTCCCTTCCCCTCCGTGAAACGAGGGTGGGTGACTCCACGCGTACATGATGTACGAGCGAACGCCAGATACAAGATTCTATCCCCGAGCACGAGAGTTCTCGGGGGAGACTTTTGTACTTGGACGGCCGCATAAACCCATCCGACCGCTGGCCCTTATGCGTTACATAAATTTGGATTCTGATGTTGGCTCCCTCGAAAGTGTTGCTGAAGGCGACCAGCACTGCCCTTTCGTCTTTGCTTCGCTGGTGGACGGACCTCTTTTCTCTCACTCTCATTTTTGTCCCCCCTCCCCCTCGATTTTCTTTTACCGATTTCGTCTACGATTTCACACAGCATCTGCGTCCAATTTGATTCCCTACTTTCAAAAACAAGCAATTCTGACATCCGAACGCCCCACTCTACAGTCCAGCAAACCTGCATTCCCCAGGCCCTTATTGGTGGTGACATCATCTGCCAGGCCAAGTCTGGTTCCGGTAAGACAGCCATTTTCGTGCTGTCTACCCTGCAGCAGATCGAGCCCGTCGACGGCGAGTGCTCGGTTCTCGTCCTGTGCCACACGCGCGAGCTGGCTTTCCAGATCCGCAACGAGTACAACCGCTTCTCCAAGTACATGCCCGAGGTCCGCACCAGCGTCTTCTACGGCGGTACCAAGGTCACCGAGGACATTGCGATTCTCCGCAGCCCGGAGACGCACCCCCACATTGTTGTCGGCACCCCCGGTCGTTTGAACGCCCTTGTTCGCGATAAGCACCTGCGTCTCGGCAGCGTCCGGATGTTCGTGCTCGACGAGTGCGACAAGATGCTGGAAGGAGTTGGTATGTTTATTCCCCTCTCTATCTCCAAGATGAACGTATTTGAAAACAAGATGTTAACCCTTCACCTGCGTTAAAGAGATGCGCCGTGATGTCCAGGACATTTTCCGCGCCACTCCCCGCCAGAAGCAGGTCATGATGTTCTCGGCCACTCTGTCCCAGGAGATCCTGCCCATCTGCCGCAAGTTCCTGCAGAATCCCACGGAGCACCTTGTTGAGGATCACGTCGAGCTGGCCCTTGACGGCGTGCGGCAGTTCCATATTTTCCTGCCGGAGGACAAGAAGATCCGCAAGCTTGTGGACATTCTTGACCAGCTGGACATCAACCAGGTCATGGTCTTCGTCAAGAGCCGTGGCCGCGCCGAGCAGCTGTCCAAGGTGCTGGAGAAGTTCAACTTCCCCACCTGCTACATCCACGGTGATATGAAGCAGGAGGAGCGTGACGCCGTTTACAAGAAGTTCAAGAAAGGCGACACCCTGCGTGTCTGCGTTGCCACTGACATTTTCGGCCGTGGTGTCGACTTTGAGCGCATCAACCTGGCCATCAACTACGACATGCCCAAGGAGGTCGCCACGTACCAGCACCGTGTCGGTCGTGCTGGTCGTTTCGGTACCAACGGCGCCGGTATTTCGTTCCTCAGCACTGAGGAGGACAAGGAGAGCTTCAAGGCTGTTGAGGAGTACTTCAAGAAGACCTTCCCTGAGTACCCCGAGGAGGGCCTTAAGCTCAAGGACGGCGGCAACACTGCTGGCGCTGAGGAGGCTGCTGCGAATTAAGTCGGCATGATGGAAGGACCAGACGCTGTAGTAGGTTGTTGAGAGTTGATGGCTCTGGGACATTGCTTTCGCAAGTGATGCTACCGAGCCTCGTCTCGATGGTCTTTTCTACGTGCGCGTCGTTTCTTTTGCGGTGCTTGATTTATGTTCGGCCCTGTTTCTGTGCCCGTTTGCTGTTTCTTCTACCCGTTGTCGCATGTGTTTTCGCTTGTATTTTTTTTTTTTTTTTTAAATTCTCTCTGTCTCTGGGTTTTTATCTCAAGTCGTGTGGAAGGCGCAAAAAAAAAACCGATTTCTCTCGGATTACGGAAGCCTAAAGAAAGTCGGTATTTTATGGTTGCTCTTAAGTTTAGCTAAGTTTTTTATTGAATTTAGTGGAAGGCCGTGCTTGGGGATTGGTATGTACGTCGTGATCTGTCATATTCCCTCGACGTTTGTATTTATCTCTTTTTTCGCCCATCATGTATGACATAGAACACAACTTGAAATTTCCTCGACCTTCCAAGATGATGGCATGTAACAAGCAACAATATGGCAGTGGCTATTTATGTGCTTGAATTAAGATGACGCCGCAAATGTAAACAGAAACACATCTCAGTGGTACTTGATAAATATTGCGTTTGTTGGGCTTCTGTGGTCTCCTGGCAAGGTGGGATCTCTAGTCTTTGTTTTGTGGTTATTAAACGTCCAGTGCAACTCACAGTTTGTTTAAATTAATCGTCAAAATATCGAAGCGTCAAAATCAAAATTTAATACTTTTATATAGCGAATCTCTCTCGACCAGAAATTCCAACCCAAAAAAAAAACCTACAAGATATACGGGTTAAAAAAACCACCACTACAACGTGACAGTCTTTCTAGATGTAGTATGCAGCTGAAAGCTCCCCGTTCGTCGATATCCACTTGGTTGGTGACAGGAAGCTGTTGACTTTGCTTACAAGGTTTAGTAGAGATAGGATAGGCGATGCCGTCTGATCTTGAATCAAAACACGGGACAGAATGTGCATCGAAGCTATTCTCATATTGTCGTCTACAAACACATTGGCTTTTCACTCCTTTATAGCTGGCCGTATTTGTATATGTGAGGCTCGCCTTGAAAGACCAGCACATTCCAACCACGATAGCCACGATATCTAGGCTTATTCGTAATGAGGCTTACCGTGTTGTCCCGGTCAGTGAAGAGAGCAGTTTTTACTTTACGAGCATATTTGTTTTATCCTCGCGTGGGACACGTTGAGACCGAATGACCATAAAGTCATGGCTGCTGTGGTAACTTACTCATGGAACTTCCTGTTTAGATACCAGTGCGCCTCTCCCATTAACTGCATTAGTGGCCCGAGTCTCTCAATGCCCCTTCCCCAGATGGTCGCACAACTCTCAAAGAACAATTCGAAGAGTAAGTATATCCTTATGAACTGAGAGTAGCTTCATCTTGTTTTACGTGGCCTGTTTGGATCATGGCAGCGAACAAAACGCGGCGACAAGGAAGACGCCGTTTCTGAAAGCCTCTCCACATTGGGCATTGACGCCCTGCATATGGAGTGCGTACGACCTGTCCTGCCCAGTAGTGCGTATTACGTGGGGACCTAGAGCGAACTTGTCAGGCGAACAATGGGGCGATCGTGGAAAACCGAGCACAGCTGTGTTTCGAATCACCAGCGAGAGGCAGCACCTGTCAACAGCGCGAGTTTCAGGGTGCCGGGCGAAATCGGGCATTGAAGGTAAACAAAGATAGTCACCGAGGGAAAAAGACTGGGGAAAAGCGGCGAGACTGATGGTGGCTGGACTTTCCTCCAAAGGTTGTTAAAATGAGTCAGCCTACGAGATATTATTTGTATTTTTGCTCCTTCCCTGACACCGGTTGTCGCGTTGTTTCGTGGCCCAGTCTCGTGATTTTGGACCCGATCTCGTGAGCGTCAGATCCTATTTTCGGCCCACGGGTTGAGATTCGCTCTGGCAGAAAGAAGAGCACCGAAGAGACCCAAAGGACGGCGAGTCATGTCATCCTGACACTCAACCCTACTCCCCATATCCGTAGTCGGCGACGGACAATCACGGCGTGCACGGATCTAGCTCACTGCGCAAAGCGTTGCGACAGAAGACCAGAAAGCACGAGAAAGAGTTAAGATTACGCTGGCGACACGAGAGTTCGGTATGGCCGTTGGCGTCACTTGCGGCTCTGGTCTCGCCTCGCGAATATTGTCTTGCTTTCTCTCTAACTTTTTCTCCTTTTTTGATTTTATCCCTGGCCTTATGGCCTCGTTTTGCCCGAAATAGGAATTCAAAACTTTTTTTTTCTTCTTCTTTTTTTTTTTTTTTCTAATAAAAAAAATCGCTTCCTCACTGCTACAGCTGCACCAATCATTTGGTGTGCGCAGTCTTCTTTGGCCGTTGCGTTGTATTCGGCCTCGGTCGCTGCCTTGTCTGGTTTTCTCACGCTATTCTGGCTGTGGCTGGCTCTGGTTGGCCCTGGCTAGAACAGTCTGGATGTGGGCTGCTCGATGGACCAGGCTGTGCTTGCCTCTGACTGACCCCCCGAGTTGCCTAATTTAGGCTCTGGAGGCCCAGGCCAGGCCCCTAGCAACCCTCCCATGCCTCACTGACCTCGATGGTGTCTTCTCCACCAAGGTTGCTGAACTCAAGGCCTGGCGCTTGTGGTTGTTCAACGGCGTGCGCGAGACACGAAACCAAAGCCAAGAATTTCTGTCATTCCGCGCGGCCTAACAAAACGAATTGGGGGGCAGTGAATTTTTTTTTGACTCATACTGTCCTTTACCTCTTTGATCCCGCAATCCCCATCTCTTCTGACCGACGTAAATGCGCCGGTCTCGTCGTCGCCGGACGTTTTCCTCATCGGGATCGCCTTTTTTCCTGCTACATTTGTGGCTTAATTCCGTTGTTTGGTGATTCGGTTGGCTGTCTGATGCTTGTCAGCCTGTGCCGTGACCCTTCCTTGTTTATGAAAACATGTGGCGTACATCGTCCTCCAAGCGGCCCGTTTTTCAGGCCTGCTGGCCCACGCGTGACGTGCAGAACATCACCTTTCACTGGTGACGACTGGTAACGCGCCGTGAACGAGCTCGAGCGATCAGGCCCCCGTGTTCAATCCTTTAAGGATCCGTGTGTGTGAACACATTCACAACTCGAGCTACTGGCTAGTAGCTGGCAAACGAAGACACCGAGCCGTCCGGTTATAACGCACAGTGAAATAAGCCATGACAGGATGTTAAATGTACTGTAAGATACATATAATTATGTGTTTATAATGGTGTAACAAGACAGTCCATAATATAATTAGCACAGTACAGGTACAGGTGTCCCCTTATTGTTTGAGCAATCTCGAATTAACGTTTCCCTCTTCCTTTCATAGGGGGTTACGAACAGCCATCATTGCCTTCTCGTCTCTGAACGCCTTGCTGTGATCTATGCTCGATTATTGTGCAAGTGGTTTTGCCTTAATTCTGTTTATCCATACCGATATAGAGTATACACCACTCTATGGCTGATTCCGCTCTTCCCGTGCGATTTTGTGTCTACCACGTGAAGAAGAGACAACAAGGAGGGAGACCGTGAACTTCATGCACAATGGCTGCTTTCCATTTCCTTCCAGAAGGAGGTGGGGACTCATGCCCGCCTATGATATAGTGTCCTGCGTGTCTGCCTAGTCTGAAATATACTCCGTCCAGCACTATCGCTTTCGTAAGACGCAACATCCGGAGCACCACGGATTGCATTGCGAACCTTGCAAGACTAAAACAATTTTGGCAATACGCGGAGGGAGACGACAAGGAGTGGACGATGGGATGCACCGTACCCAGGAGCGTCTGTAAGACGGCCAAACAATGTTGTTGCTAAAACGCGACGCTCATGTCTAGTCTCTCGCCCGGAATCAAAACGGCGTGCAGCATAGGTGGTATCTTACATTGTGTATGGTGTCCAAGACAATGGACATGAATACTGAACACAACGGACCACTGAGTAAAAGCGGGGCGGCAAATGACTCTCGACGAATCGTTCCCGATTCAGAACAATCGACCTTGTGCGCGGAAAAGAGTGACGGCTTTTGTGCAAAAAATGAAGCGGAAAAGATGGTGTGCAGGGTTTCGTGCTTTTGTGTCGAGTGGTCGTGATGGTGTGGTGGTGAGCCTTGGTGTGTATGAGACGCTACGGCAGGGCGTAGTTCGGGGGCCAACCCTGAACCCTCTGGCGACTGCGGTTGACAGCTGGCACGCTATATGGCATGAATGATGTGTTTACCGGCATGACTATTTTCTTGCCGGTGAGATTAAATTTAGACATTTTTGGGGCTTTTGACCGATAATTGTGGTGCTTTGAAGGGTTGTGATTTGATGTCTGTTCTTGAGACGAGACCACGGACCTTGATCACCAACAAGTGGAGAGCCAGAGAAAGAACCAGAGACGATATTTGAAAGTCTTTGTTGCGCTTGGCAATTGGTCGCCTGGACTCGGGGCACAGCTTTTCTCACAGTGCTGGGATGTTTTCAGCTCACTCCTTTTGTCCTTCTGTCATGTAAGGTGCGGTCATCTTGTGCAACCGACCTGTTGTTGTGGCCCCGTGGTAAGCCTAGTAGACCGGTGTCTCCTCAACCAGCTCTGGCGAAGCAAAACAAAAAAGAGTGGCGCATCATCGATCTCTATGTTGTATTTCGTACACTTTCTCAGTCTTCCCTTTTGGTATTTTTGGATATTTAGTCCAAACCTTATTTTGTTTTTGTCTCCAACGCCGGATGCCGACGCAACACTATTGCGTCTGGAAGGTGGCGAGTCCAGCTGGGACTATTGTGAAGGCTTGCGTCTAAACAGGCAGAGGCAGGGCAACCAGGCAGGACAGAGGGCTGTGAACCACACCTCTTCTGGTCGTTCACCCCCTCATTCTGTGCTACTCATGCTGTTGTTGCATTAGATGTCTGACGGGCGTATCTGTGTGTCCTACTGGATCTTCTTTTTTGTACTGTCTTGATCCTCGTTGGATTCACTCA